TATGTTAGATGTAACATAACATGTAGCATAACATCTAGATGTAAGCAGCGAGAGTCCGAGGAGCCGGCCTTCAGGTGTGGATGACGTCACAAACAGGGAATCTATCATCATGCTTCAATTTCTACATCAGACGCTCAGCTGTGGCTAGGTGAAATAGGATATCAGATGTTAAATTAACACAGATCATGTAATGATCTGATGATGTCAGAATCTCGCCCATCTCGGCCCCAGCAGGGTCCCGGACCCCCCTTTGGGAACCCCTGGTCTAGCGGTACTCCTCTGTGACTGTTTCCCACAGAAAGGTGAAGATGATCCAGTGTGGTTGGTTACCTTGTGGAGGTTCCCCTTGGCGTCTCCCAGGAAGGCGATGGTGTGTCCGGCCCTCATGCTGACAGCCACGGCTGTGAGCCGAGCGGATGGGCTGTCCAGGATGGTCTCCTCCAGCACGGGGATGCGGCTGGCCATGGGGCTGGGGGTGTGGTCAGATCCACAGGGGTAGGCGTCCAGAGTGTTCTACCGGAGAACATTCAGAACAATATAGGAAAAATGTTCAGTTCTATGAGAAATAGAAACTCTTCAGGAAAAGCAACCAAACGTTCTGCTTTCAGGGTTAATGTTCTCCAGCAGGACGTACTGGAAACCAGACTGAAGAGCGAAGCTAAGGACGAAATGTCACCCCCCCAGTTTGAGAAGAGAGAGTCTCTGCTCCTCTCAGAGCAGGAGATGTACTTCCAAAGCCGGGTTCAACGCCTCGTCATGGAGGCAGTGAACCCGGGGCCTCTGGCTCCTGGAAGCCACTGGGAGGACCCTCAGTATGGAAAACATATTTACTGGGAAAACCGTGGTACTAAAAACAGCAGAACACACACCATGCAAAGACGACCTATTATGGGATGTAAAAAAAAAAAAAAAAAGAAAGCTTAAAAGGTGCCAGGACAGCGAGCGGCTTGGCTGATAGAAACCTGCAGCCAAACAGTCACGTTTACATTCTTTTCATTTCTATTCTAGATTGCAGATTCATTCTATTCCCACGGCTAAACTCCTAATTTGGTGACAGGAGCAAATCCCGGCTTAGACTTTTGTCCAAATCCATCCAGGCTGCAGATGGACCGTCTTGGCAACGATCACAGAAGGTTGTTTATGTGCAAGGATCAACTTAAGATTATTGAAACTGATTTTCAGCTTTAAATCTCAGTGTTTTCTTCTCTGTATAGTTTCTCCTTCCTTTCTCTACCTCAGACATGCTCTTCCAGCAGCCACAGCCTCTCACCTCCTGCAGGTCTGAGTTCTTGCATCTTTAGCCAGCTTTGCAGAATCTCGTTAAACGTTACCTCTAAAGCCTCCTGCATTCGGAGCAGATCACGCTGGAAACGATCTCTGCTTTCTTTCTACCTCCCAACGTGCCGGTTTGGAATGTGAATGAATGAACTCTGTGCTTCCATGGATGCATCTAAACCAACAGGAAGTGCAGCCTGTTTGGCCCCAGTGGGAGGACCTGCAGCCATTTATACTTTGATCGCAGAAAGATGACGGCTAATTACACTTAGCCAAGCAAAATGTCTGCTTTGCCAAAGAGTAAAGTGTTTATTTACAGGATAGTTGGTCAAAACTAAAGAAGAAAATGAAAAGCAAGCTCTCGTGGGGTGAAATTAACTTTCAACTTCCAAACAACACTGGTACCCTAAATCAAACTCCAGAGATTTTCCTTTTCTTAAGTCATTTCTGCTCTTTGCATTGAAAGCACTGAGCTCAGAGTCAAAGCAAACCAGGAAGTGAAGCAGCCAATCAGACGTCAGGGCCTCTAATCCCGCCCACTGTGACAGTTTAAACAGTTTGATGACGAATCAGAGAAGCCGGACACCAAGAAATTAAGAAATACAGAGGGAAATAATTAAATGTGTATTTTAAGGAATTTGTTCAAAAATATTTAAAGGCACATTACATTCTGTAATATAACATTTAATCATTTATTGATGTATTAAATAAATATATGGTACATTAACAGAAACATTTATTGATTTTGTCCTCTTTAACTTTCCAGATCCTGGAGCTAAAGGAAACTCAGAGCCTCTGTTAGAACACGTTTGATG